GGACAAAGAACGCCTTCCCCTGCCCACCCCACCCCCAGCGAATCTTCCAGCTCTTTCCTCACGAAAATACGCCAAATCCGCAACACAGGCACTGGGCGGTCATCAAAATCATATTAAGACAAAATATAATGCGCTTTGAAGTGGGTCATGTCAACAAGATTTTAAATTTTTCGTGGGGTTATTATATTGATCCGTTATTTTAACGAATTTAATGTTGTTTGATTCGCCATATGTAATCGGTGTATAAATAGAAAGTTTAAAATATATTTTTTTAAATGTTTTCCCAAGTTGAAATTATTTGTTATGTTAATTCATTTCGATCTGTGCTGCACACTTATACTATCAAAGCAACTAAATGCCCAAATCGTTGTGGTCTTCCGTCCAATGCAACTAGCTTATTGATCTTCGTGATAGTACCGATTTAACTAAATCGAATTAAAAAACTTGTGTTTTAGCCACGCTTTCAAGACTTTTAATTTTACCACCCAAATTTCCTTAAGTTACGACTAATTTCTGTTTTCCTACGAATCTCATCTTCTAATGCGCGTTCTGGTTAACATCGTAATAGCGCCAACACGTTTCTTAGCGTAAATAAACAATCTTGGCATCCGAACGCGCAACACTTCCTTTCAACATGCTCACAGTGACTTTGAATCAACTAACACTTCTTCGTTTTATTACCTTGAACAACAAAGATCCTTCACCCGCGAAGGTACCGCAGCGAGAACGACCGACTCTATCTATGAATCATTTGCTTCGCCTGCGATCGTAGGAGTCGTGGAATGACTACCTCCCGATGCCAACCCGTCAGAACAAAGCGCACGGAGCTCGACCCAACAAAACATATCGATCGACGCATTCAGCTCCCTAAAGTGCAGCCACTCCATTCCATTTGCACCACATGGAAAAAACAATCAAAATAGAAACGAAAGAAAAAAAAAGAAGAAAAAGAAACTAGAAAAAATGACGAGTCACTGGCGTCGCCAGCACGTCCTTGCACTCGCCACGTCGCGGGAGCCGCGCTGTGCACTAGGTCGAGATATCGCACCGCCTCGCGAGATAGCGCGACGCCCTTTGTTTATCTCCACCGCCCTCACACAATGGGCGCGAAACGCGCACAGCTCGGTTCGCGCGCAGTTGGGCAAAACATTGCACGCAGGCGAGGGGGGGGGGCTGAAGGCGCAACTGCGTTCTCTGGGGCTCGCGCCCGCGTTACAAAGAAGCCCGGAGGCGCAGTAAAGCGTGTCCTTTGGAAAATGTACAGGAATAAAAAAAAAACGTTTTAAATAATTATAAATATTATTCGAAACGATGTGGGATTTGTTTAATTTATATATAATAATAATAATAATAATAATAATAAATAATAATAATAATAATAATAATAATAATAATAATTAACGGGTGATTAAAGTTAACTGTTTAAAGTGTGTTCCCGAGTGTAGCGTCAAAATTTTAGTAGTAGAAAAAGTATTATAAGTGGAAAGTTTCATCAAAAACAATCCTTTACAATTTTTATTTTCAAATTGTTTATAATAATATTATTAAATTAAAAGTTTATGATATATTAAAATACAAACTGGAACAAAAATAAATTAGTTAGTAACGAATTCAAATAAAAAAGGTTGTTTTTTTTTAATGGAATTTATGAAACCACTTTGAT